AACGGAATTTGGTAATTTGCATATTTCTTTGAAATAAAAGGATATTTTGCCCAAAAAACTATCCAGTAGTTTTTGTCATGCCCTAGCGTATCTACCATAAAAATATGAGCGAAATCGAATTTTCGATCCTTGCCGAGTTATTTTCCATTTTTATGGACAGGGACTCTTAATTGCTTTGACAGCCTTTTGTTTCGAAAATTATTGTTCATGACCCATCAACTGATTGCGACCGTCAGTGCTCTGATTGGCCAGGAACACTATCCCAGGATTATGCATGTATGAACGCACTCTAATTGGTTGCTAAAACTACCCGAAGATATAAGGTTACACAGACTGGCTATGAAAACTATCTGAAGAGTAAGGGTACAGACCAACCTACTTTAAGATGATGACATTAGTGACTATGCCTCTTTAAGGCTGGTAGCCACAATAAAAAGAAAAATGTCAGGTGTAAGCATGTAAGCCTGACAATCTGATTATGCATTGAAAAAATATCCTAGAATTTTTCATGGAAAATAACATCTGGTTTAAAGTCTCACCAGAGACTATACCATAACCAATAATAAAGCCAGATTACTAACTTACTGGCTTAGATGCATATACAATAATATCAAACTGTGTGAAGTTTCACATCTGTCAGAAAAGAAACAAAATTATCACTCATACCTCTCTTTCAAAATTCTGCTTTGTAAATTCTAGAGAGTTGAGGAGGGCATTTGTCGCTGCAAGTCTTATTGGAGCGCTGTGGACATGATTAAAAAGAAAGTTACAAGAAGCTTTCATGTATATGCTATCAAAAATGGTTGCTTCCTGTTTATAAACACACAGGCTGATGCAGTGACTGAGAAAGTTTGGAAGAACTTGAAAGTAATATTTAACTAAATCGTTACTTAGTGATTGAATATACACAAAATTGTAGATATTCCCAGGGTTCCAGATAAGTTTTCAAGGCAGGGTGTCAATAGGAATTCCACCGGGTCATTATTCCCACTGCTCCCACCAATTCATTATACATTTTCTATCAATTTGTCGCGTTATGTAGCTGACCCCTCACTTATCAGGAACACTGATTCCCAAATATTATTTTCCTTGTATTAGGTTTTACTTAAACACACAGAATTTTCTATTTCTCAGATGTGACAGAACCAGACCATTTTACCCAATAGATTTTAATATCGATGTACTGGATAAAACTGTGGAAGTTTAGTTGTTAGTTATGTGTTACACATGCAACCAATGCAACTACCATTGCTTGCATCTAAGCATGAACCTGTGATGCCGAAACATGTTCTAATTGGGTGTCAAACGTGACATGATTGGTCATTAAACAATTGAAGTTTAGCAGACCCTAATGTGAACTTTGGTGCTGTGTGTCTTGCTCCCACTGATATTTCATGGTTATACTACAAGCAAATCCACTTATGCAAAAGGCGTATGCATATTAATACAAGTCAGGATCAAATTTGAGCATGAAAGTTTGTGCTGTGGTCTAAGCTTCAAATGTTTAATGACCAATCAAGCCACATTTGACACCCAATTAGAGCATGTTTCGATGTCACAAGTTCATGCTTAGATGCAAGCGATGGTAGTTGCATTGGTTGCATGTTCACGCTTAGATGCAAGTGGCGGTATTTGTGCTACAATACTAACAACTTACCTAGGTTCTTCCTTTTTCATCCCCGATACAATTGCTGTAAGAATTTTATGTGACTGATCAACTAGATGCTCAGGTTCCTGACAGAAAAACAGAAAATGGACATCAGTAATTCACAACGTTTCCACCACTAGAAATATTTCACAGTCCCTATGGCAAAGAAAGTTCTAAGCAAACATTTCAACATTTTTCGTAACACCTATCAAACCCTTTGTGTGCACTAACTTTGCAAGCCAGCAAGACATGCAGCCTAATTCAGGCTTTTAGCCAGAATTTGAAATGTGGCCGTCCAAAATGTACTATGGGGCCTGCTCAAATGAGCAATTTATAAGGCAACATCTGAAAAATAAAATAATTTTCTGTAGAAAATGGCTGTCCACAGGACACCTGGATGCCCATCTGGCTAAAAGCCTAACTAAGTCAAGGTGAGGGCACTTTTCTTCACCTTTGAGCCAATGCAAATTTTCTATTTCAGGCAAAATGGGAATTCACTTTTTCCCAATGACGAACAGACCCTCCATTTTTCCTGTTTCCTAATCCCCCGCCCACCACTAGGGACGTAGGTTAAGCAGGGAGCTGGATAAAATAACTTCCTGTTGCACAAATTTAACAAGGCTGTACGGGCTCGAAATGAAAATGCTGTTAGGATTTGAAGTCCTTTCCAAGTAAAGAAATTTCTACTAGTTTCACATCTTGGCTACATGCACGCACTCTCCCGTGCTTCAACTTTCATATTAACATCCGGTTTTCAAAAGGAAGAAAAGAAGATACAGTCAAACCGCCCATAAGCAACCACCCAAAATGTCAAGCCTAGGTAGTCGCTCATGGGAGGTGGTCACTTACGAGAGCTTAGACCATGTTGGGTCAAAATTTTGCTTCATTTAGTATATGGTAACTGCAGACTTACCTCATGTTTTAAATGTTTTATTCAAGTGAATAGGCAATTTCAAGAAAATAACCCATACTTCCCATTGAGAAATTCTCATCTCTTGCACTATCCAGGAATGTGATGTCACATCACCTTATTATCCAATTTCTGCCTTATTATATGTTAACTGGTCGCTTACAGGAGGTTAAAAACTAGAGAAAATTTCAAACTTTTAGCTCTAAAAGTGGTCGCCACCATTTATGAGAGGTGGTCGTTTACAAGAGGTTCCAAATATAGTGATTTGACTTAAAGACTTTTGGTATTTTGGAAAACTGGTTGCTGGGGAGAGGTGGCTGCAACTGGAGGATCAACTGTATATACCATATTGAAAATTAAACCACAAGCATTGACCCAAAAGCTACTTACGATATCCTGGCAAATGTAACCTATAGTTTCCAAAGCCTGCTCCTTTAATGCATTTGTACTGCTTGTTTGCACTGTAATGCTCTGTAAAATGTCCACCACTTCCAGCCATTGTCCGTGTGGGATTTCAGCACAAGCTATCGCTGCTATACACTATAAAACAAATAATAACATTAAGAGCCAGGTAGAAATGCTCCCATTATCAGGCCCCCTTCTCTTGAGAAAACTAACCCTAATTCCAGATTTAAAAAAGAGCCCAGCCTGCTTTCACTCTGACTTGGGATCTTTATTATTTTTTTAGTTTGTTAACAACTGCCTTGTGAAAAGGATTGGGTGTTCAAGGCATCCAGGGGCTTCCACTATTGGCAGCCAGCTACTAGATGGAGACCGCTCCCATGGCTGGCAAATCCTGGCAACCCAGCCATGAGCCCCCACACGGAAGGGAGAAAGCAGGCACCCGCCACACTGATAAAAGAGTGGAAAGAGAAGGGAGGTACAGGGGAGGGGGAACAACCTCTGAGCAGAGTCCCCGTGCTTGACACTCAGATGCTCAAAGAAAATGCTGATGGTGTAAAACTACTCAAATGCCTTGTGGCCCAAGAACATGTGAAATCCTGATGCATTGGCAGATCTAAACACTGCTGACCAGAAAGGCAAGACTTGTGCTTCTTGTTGTTAACTCCGCTATATTTCATTTAACTGCATTTAATCATATACCATCAATAATATGGTCACAATACTGAACAGTTACATTATAATGCCATTTATTTATACCCAGTACAGGGGTTTCATTAAGGTTTTCAGCAGGAGGGTAACTGGTTTTCACAGATGGGCAAAACTATTTGAACTAAAAGTTCTTCATAAGAAAACCTTTCTACTAGAAGGCCAAACCTAGCGGGCAAAATCGTCCTCACACTCAGTCAATTTGCCTGGTGCCCAGCATTTAATGCCAATGATAAATTGGCCAAAAACAACACAGAGATGACATTCAAAGAAAATTTTGAACAAGGGGTGGGTACACTTATCCTATGTTGTAATACTCTATTCGACATGAAGGTGATGAAAGTAAATGAAGTGTCATTATCACAGTTCAAAACCTATTCAAAAAGATTAACCATGACATTTGTCAAGGTAAGTTGTTGTTTTTCTTCAAGATATCTAAATCATGATTTTAACCTCTCAAGTGGTCTAAACTAACCCAAATTGCAGGCAACTTTAGGGCCTACAAGATACTTCATACAACTTCTAGAAACTCTTATACTTTGACAGTAATTTTTGTCACATCACTAGTTGACCGAGATATGCTAGACATACTTCACTTTATTACTAAGGGTTTATGTGGTACTGAATATCATGCTGAATTACCAATGAGTTTGGCTCAAAGTTTGGCCATTTTCAGTAGCTTGTTTGAAAAAGTGAAAGTAAAACATTTTTCCAGTAGTTTCTTCCAGTATTAGAGCAGTTTTCAACTGCGTGTCATAAAACCAAAACCAATGAAATTACAGTACACTAAGCCAATCACAAATTACACAAACAATCCAATAAACCAATCAAAACTTGAAGTAAACACATGCAGTTGATGAAAAGTGCAGGAAAATGTGTGAATGAGTCACAAATGGTTTTGTTCTAGTTCTGACTAGGTGAAAAAGTGGGGCATGTTTTTCAAGCCAATTATGAAGCACAACAATGCAAAACCAATTACTTTTCAACACTCAAGTGTTAACCGCTCTGTAAATATCCAATTTTAGTTAAAATTGGTATCTACAAGCAAATTGGAGTAATTCAATAAACTCTTCGGTCAGAACTATTTCCTGTCAAATTTTTATCAAAGAATATCACTTGGTTTGACTTGACTGAACTAGCCTGATGGACCACCATTCTTAAAGGCAATGTTTAACACCTTCTGTGAAATCCCCTTCTAGTAAACCTCACTCTAGCTTGTCTTTGGGTGCATTCCTTTGGAGTGATCTGGATCACTGGTCCAAGATAACTCAGATCATGATAGGTAAAAGAAACCGGTGACTTCACTCTGGTCATGGATTTATTGGCTTCTTTGATGCACCATAATCCAAGTGATCTTGAATCACTGATCCTAATCCAGATCACTACAAAGGAACACGTCCTTTGTGAGACCTAAAATCAACAAGAAGATCTGTTAGATCTTATAACCGCGCGTTTAAAATTTAACTGTTTTCTTAGCACTACAGTCGCAACGCAGTGCATATTCCAAAGCAATNNATGTTGCGTGACTCAAAGTTTGGCCGAGCGGAGGTCTGCGTCTGGTCACCGACAAAAAAAAAAATAATAAACCACGGGTAAACCTAGAACCGTGCTCGGCCCATGGCCGCGCGGTTAATAAGGGAAGCTAATTTATAGCGGAAATACAGTCCCAGTTGGGCATTGCAGGACATCATGCTTAACGATAACGATCAAGTAGTAACAATTCCTGCCTTATGAAATGGGTGCAAGATGTTCGGGGTTAAGTACCACCCAGTATTGCAAGAACACCAAATCTGTCTTTGGTGCATGCGTTTAGACAGTATCGTACATCTCTTAGAAGAAAGGAAAGCAAATGCTTTGGTCTGGACATTCAGTGTGCAAAATAGAGAGACACATTCAAAAGATGTGTCAATGCCATCTTGAAAGCATGGCAATTCTTGTGCAGTGATCGTAACTTCCAGAAGCTTGGCACTGCATAACCAAACATCTGCCTAGGTCAGTCAATGACATGCTCAGTTAAAAAGGCCCACTCTAGCAATTGCAGAGTAAGGGAATTTGCCCGGGCAAATAAAAAGCTCTCATATTTCAACTTATATAAACTGAAAGATAATAAATAGATCGTCAATTAAGTTCGGATCCTGGGGTAAAATTAACAAGTAGCAAGCAAACTGTACACAAAGAGAAGTTTTTCAAATGAACCTCTCAGTTTTTGCCCCTCAAAGCATGAGTGGTGTTATTAGCGTCACGATGAAATGAACGGAAAGTCTTCCTGAACAGAAATATGTACCGACATTATTTTAGAGTATTTCTTTAAAACACTTCTGAATCGGAAAAAATCAACAATGATGATAAACTTGCCTGTGGAGCGATAGCAGGTCTCGCATTTTCCGTTCCTAGAGTTTGAATCGCCTGTAAAACAGAAACGGGAAGTAAAAATTTAAATTAGCATCAATCCGGGTGGGAACCCAGGAATAAGACTTGGTAAAACCAAACGCATTTTAACTCTTCGAGGTTTCTTACCATTGTCTTGACATGACTTTTTATTTTGTCGTCCAGAGTCATCCATCGCTGCTGGTATTGTAACCTTACTGTAGCGTCTTTGGAGGTGAGCTGATTTTTCAGTTGTAATCCGGCCGCCATTCTCGCAACCTGAGACTTCGTTGCATCCGCTAACTCGCTTACAAGAGCCACCAAAAACTCGGGCTGTTGAGAAAATAGAAAAAATGAGGCCGGCACTAGCATAAAAGCGACAGCATTATCTTTTAGAGACAAGTATTTCCGTAATGAAAGTTGTACATAATTTTGTACAATGAATGACTTCAGGTTAACTTAAACTAGTACGAACAAATTTTAGGAAAAGCTTTGCTGTAAAGCCTTAAACTCACCAGATTTGCTTGAGCCGCTTGTTCCAGATAAGTTTGAGCTGCTTGCAACTCATTTTGATCTACACGATCAAACAAACACGAAATTAACCAATTTGTATTTGAAACTTGAAACAAACATCATGCAAGATCGCGGCCATGTGCTTCGACTCTGCACGCGTTTTCCAAGAGTTCTCCCCCGAAAAGTTACTCCCATCGTTTATCTAATTTACCTGGAGATACTGTTGCTTCGAGCACTTTTGTGAGATCCATTTTCCTAGAGGATGGCGGCTGTTTTCTGGCACTCCCAGCCCAAAATCGACACCACGAACGTACAAGAAGAAAATTTGAAATGGAAAATGACCAGGGTCGTTTTCGCGCCGTCGTGATGGGGGTAGTACATATTTCGATTGCGTCCGTACCCCCTCTTGATGTAATCCAAACTGAAAGAACGGGAAAAACCATGCGTGAATGTCGTGAATGGACGGGAAAGGAAGGGAAAAATAAATCGGGAAGAAACAAGAAAAAGTTCGAAATGAGGCGAGATAATACATACATTTCGGTAACCAGTGTTTTTTTTCCTTGCACCCTCAGGTCGCCAATTTTATTGGTAAATATCTTTTGCTAGATACACAGGTTGTTTATAATTTCCGAAATTTCCGAATTTCCGAAAGAGACAAGGTTCAAGATGGCGGTGAAGAATTGCAAATGTAAGCACATTTTCCACTCGGATATTTCAGATGGAAATTTTGGATTACCGTTCATAGACTACGAGTAGTCCCTCTTTCACTTAGTCCGTCGCGCTTGACGCGAAAGAAAACCGTAAGAAAAAAAATGGCCACGCGAAATCCTGGGGGCGAGGATTTCGCGCGGCCATTTTTGATCTTTTTTTTTTCGCAGTTTTCTTTCGCGTCACGCAAGGGCAAGACGGACTAAGCGAGAGAGGGACTACTCGTAGCCTAACCTTTCAAAACTTTCCGTTTATTTCGAAAAATTTTCGAAATAAACGGAAAGCCAAAATTAACCAAAGTTTTCTTACCTTTAAATTCTGGTCGAAATTTCTAGAATTGAGCAAATGGTAAGCAACCACAGTAACTTTAAGTCTATGAATATTTCAAAATCTATTCAGAGCTATTATCTGACATTACTCCACTTCTATTTCTTGTCATATTTACAGCTTTTAAGGTAATTCCTCTGAAATAAAAGTGACAATAGATTTTTGTTCAAACTTTGTCCACTGAATATTTGTCATATGATAACTTCAATTTTGAAATA